TATTTTTAAAAGTGGAGAAGGTTTTGTAGACCATGTGGCAAAATAATATTCCCTACCAAAATCTATCATGAATTTTGTGACTACAGAAAGATAAATATGAAAATGCAAATGTCGAGTTTTAAGAATTTTAATTATTCAAGAAAACAAATTGCAAGACATGTGATTAAATAAAAGATAAATTTTCCAGTGTCTTTTGCACACATTTGTTGTCCTATCTGTGTGGATTAGTGATAGTCAATAGAATTGGGGAAAAATGGGGAGCTTTTGAGAAATATGTGAAATTTTGAAAGAGAAACAAGTAAAGGGGAATGGCATGGAAATTTTTATAAATCAGTAGATGTGGAACTCCGAGAAGGGAAAATCTGAATAAGAATAGTGAAAAAAATGAAGGAATGATTGTAAAGTGAAAGGTGAATTTTTCGAGATTAAAAAGGGATCAGAGAAGAGGGGAGAAAGGGAAGAAACAATGTAAGTGAGAAAAACCTAAGTATAATAGGTACAAGTACAATATACAAAAATAAAGCTATTTCCCACATTACTAGTAGAACTAATAAAATGAAATTTGAAAAAGAAAAAGAGAAAGGGTGATAATGAGAATGTAGAGTGGAAACTGGCTAGATTTGAATGTAGACTGCTTCAGGATGAATTTTGATCTGTGTAATAGTATTCTGCTGCTAAATGACAAATATTCATACACTTAATGACTTAAAACATCACATATTTGTGATTTCACAACTTCTACTGGTCAGGAATCTAGATATGGCTTATTTGAGTCCACATCTCAGGATCTTGTAAGGTTGTAGTCAAGGTATCAGGCAGTTTGCCTGCTCATCTGGAGTTTGAGTCTTCTTCCAAGTTTATATTGTTAGCATAATCCATTTGTTTCTGCCCTCTGACTAGCACTGCATTATTGTGTCATTCTTTTACTAAGATACTAATCAGGTTATAATTATTTTTGATTGTCTGTCTCTTTATATCTCCCTTGAATTTGAAATCACTCAGATGAAGGACCATCTTATACTTGTATCTTGAGTACTTTTCCATACTGCCTGCCACAGAGTGAAGGTGAAGAGTATGTTTTTAAAATGCTTGAACAATATGTGAAACAAATGAGGAAGGCCATCAGTGTAGTGCTTCTATGTAAAAATAGGGGAGTGTCAAAGGCCTACAGTATTTATATTTTCTCAGATCTGTTTTCAAATGCTCATGGACATACTTACTTGTGATCTCTGTAATAGAAAAATGCACTTGTATGTGGAGAATTTTAATTATCAGAAGGAAAAATTATGCTAGAGAAATGCAATCTGAGTATGAATTTCTAGCATAAAAAATTCTGTAGCAGTGATAAAGCTTTAAATACAAAATATAAATAATCTGTTATAATGTGAAAACAATTGATATAATTTAAAATTTGCAATATAATTATATAAAAATGAAAAAGGAGGTATTTCATAAAGGTCAAAAATTTAATATACCACAATACTGTGCCATATCAGAGTATGCACTTTGGTATTATAAAATCAGGAAAAAATATGTTTCATTGTTTGTGTAAATTTCCTCTTGTAATATTTGCATCTTTGTTTCATATGAACAGTATGGATTGTACAATACCTAAAACAGTCTAGAGGTAATGAATTAGAAATATAATATTTAATGTTTTTTTAAATAGCCAACAATTCACTTACCAAAAAAGTGCTATTTTAAATCAGTATAAATTCATAATAGTGATTATACAATGTATGTGATCACTCAGTTAATACTTGCCTTATATTCCAATACATAAGCATATACATATGAGAGTAATATTTTATTAAATTCCATTTAATTGTGTTTGATATTTTAAAATTCTTTGCAGGATTTTTCCCCACCAGGACTTTCAAAATCAAGCTATATTCAAAGAGAAAGACAACTTAGTGGATACGTAAGTTCTGAAGAGCCGGAAATCCCTCACAGAATAGGACGTGCCCAGATGAAATTCAACTATTAAGAGCTCTATATATGATCATCTGATTATTCTAGAATGTTCAATTAATACTTTAACAGCACTATGAGTACAATTTATCTATGGTTAAATACTTTTGTTTCTGCACTAATGCCGTCAGTTTTTCTCCTTACAGCTTCAAAATTTTCCACCTATACTCTAATGACCACAGAACTATTTGCATTTCCAATGTCCAATTATTTAACAGCAAAAATGACAGATACCTGTTATCTCCTAGATTCAGTATCATACTTGCTTACTCCTTTATACAATACATGGTTGTAAAGTGCTCAGCAAGATGTGTATCAGTTGATTAAAAATAACTTGCAGAGAATATGGAGTTATTTAGAGTGATGCAATAAATTTAAATATTTGCATCAAATCATTGGTATAGAATTAATGAATTTTATTTGCAATGTACAATTTGATTATAAATTTACACCCCCAAATAAACTAAGAGTTTATAAATGATTGCTACAATTTTAGTGGTACAATAAAGTGATCCCAAGACCGTGGTTCTTCCTTACCATCTTTTTTCCTCATTCTTTTTTTCCTTTATCTTTCCTTTTCCCTTTATCTTTCTTGGCTTAAAAGCCATGTCACACCAGCTATGTACCATTCATTCATTTCTAAGACAAAGAAATAAATCTGAGATGATCCATGGAGGCTAGACTAGTAGCAGATAAAAAATTTCTTTACTATTTTCAGTGTGATCAATGCAATTATAAAGATGTGTATAATATAAGAAAGTAGGAAATCAAAGAACCATTATCCAGCATAGGAAGAAGTGTGTTGATATATCTCATATCTTAGGGCAGATAGAAGCAGAGGGTTATATTTTTAAGTGATGGCTAAGCTGTTGTAAAACAAGGAGATAATTTGCCAAGGGGAGAATGGGAGAGGGTTTGAGACAAAGTGAATGAACAAAAGGCATAGAAGTAAGAAAATCAATATGGAGTATGAAGAGAACTTCAGATACTACTGGAGGATAAAATTGAAGAAGACAAAGAGTTGTGAGGCTGAAGAGGTAGCCAAAGGAGGGTCTTGTATGCCTTGTTAAGGATCTAAATCTTCTTGGCTAGAAGACTGTGTTAAGTGTATATGCGTTCCTATGACATAATACCTGATGTTGCATACTTTATTAAGAAAAGACATTTTTTAGCTTATGATTCTGAAGGTTGTAGGGCACAGCTGTGACATCTTAGCTCTGGTGAGGACTTTCTGGAATCACAATGTGTTAGAAAGCATATGTTGAGAGCATGTGCAAGAAGGAGAGATAACATGGCAATAAAAGAATCAAGAGGCTGGCAAAGGACTAGCTTGTTCATTCTTATAATAACTTATTATTGCAAGATTCATCAAATCTATAAGGCTAGTACTTATGGGAACAGTGTCCCTATGACCTAGCTACTTTCTACTAGGCCCTAGCTCTTAAAATCCTACTACTTCAGCACTATCACACTGGAAACCAATTTCTAGCACATGAAACTGTGGAAGATGAATGCAGACAATATTCAAGCCCTATAAGCCTCTATTGAAGGAGTTAACATAATCATGATTGGATTTTATATTTTAGACTTATCATTATGAGGAGGGTCTGCTAGAAACATTTGGAAGAGACAATATGAGAGACAGAACAACCAGTTAGAAGGCAGAGGTGATGAGTCGTATAACTACAACACTGAGAATAAAGAGAGGAAAACCAGGTTAAAGAAACTTCTAGGAAGCAAATTTATGGAACATGGAGACCTTGAGATGTCACAAATGAGAGAAAAATGTTATTATGGTTGAAAGGGTATTAGCAGTACTCACTGACATAAATCTCTAACAAGTCAATGAGAAGTGTGGGCAGGAATAAAGCAATGAACAAGTTAGATGGAAATGATATTAATACTACTAAAGATCTATAACCTTCAGGTTAAATGGACAATTAACACTTTCAAGAAATCCAAACATGAAATAAATCAGTCTCCAATTCCACAACATGGTTATTTATTTTATACCATATATACATATATCTCCTAATATTTTATACATTGTGTTTTGTGTTTTGACAATTCCTACTTGAAAATTCTCAGATTATTTCATCTTACAATTTAAAGAATAAATGGATGCAATCAGATGTGAAATCCTTAATCTACAAATGGATCTGCACTCACTCACTTGTTTCAACATATCTCTTATCTTAGGGCATTGCTTTAGGATGTTCTTTAAATTTTGTCCACTCCAGGATTTGCGCTGATGTTAGCTCTATCAATTATCCTCTTTATTCATCATTACCCTCAAAGTGTCCCTAAAGAAAACAAAACAAAAATGTTCCTATGGAAACTGAAAATGTGTGACCCAGGCCTCCAAACAATGTTCCCATCTGCTGTGTTCTCAAATCCTTTCCTGTATTTGCTTCTCTGCCCTGTGCTCCAAGTCTTCTCTACTTTCTGACCATTTCTAGAGTCATGGCACTCCTCTAATAGATGACTTTAGCTTGAGGAATTCCCAATGGCTGTGGTGAACCTTCTTTAGGCTATACAATAGACTTCAGAACATTTACTTATAACTTTTCTTCCTTTTCTCTTACTGTGGAAAATTCTAGCTTTTTCTAGATCCCTTTCCCATTTTCTTACACAGGTGTTTATAATAATAAAAATGTCTTCACATAGTCTAATCCCATCCTGATGTGTGATTTTATTTTTTTATTATTAATTTTTTTTAACTTTTGGCAGGATTTCATTTTTTTGCCATAGTTTTATTGATAAACAAATAGCAATGAGACAGTTTCAAATCAAATCGGTAGGACACGTTCAATAATTAACACACTGCATACATTCTTCACAGTGATTAATTGCTGTACAAGATGCAGACATGATATCCTATTTACAAACAACATTAGAACAAAGCATTCTATTCATTTACTGAATGTAACTATATATCTATCCTAACAACTTTGAATGCACAGATAAAAAATGGACATTCATCTGTATACCCTTTTTCTTTTGTTAAGTTCCACTATTTGAATATTATAGGTGTGTAAACTCAGCAAAATATTCTAAAAGAGTCCAGTAGCCCATAATAGTATTGGGTCTTCTGCTTAACTGGCAATGTCAGAAATTGTTGACCTGAGTCCCCCACAGCTCAACATAACAGCATGGCTTTATTTCTTATATTTCGTTTTTATACTTTTCTTCTGGATGGTTAAGACCAAGGTAAAGCAGGACATATGCAACAAGAGTTGTAGCTTTTAGGTCTGATAAGGTCAGTGAAATCCCCTCAGGATTTATCCTGAGATCCTGTACCTCAGATTGTAGAACCTTTGTCAGTGTCAGCCATGTGGATGAGTCACGGCCAATGCTTGGCCAATGCTTGGCCAATGTGCTCTCTGTGAAAGCCTGGGAGAATGTTTTCTCTCCAGGTGACTCTCCTTAGGCACACTCTACATCATCGATCAATTTCCTCTTTGGTCCCATAATCTCCTTGATCAGAAAATTTGGGACACTACTGAGTTATAAGACGTTACAGTACAAGTTCTCATATGTCCTGAGTCTTAATTGACCTTGGAAGGCTAGGGCCAAAATGTTGGCTTTCCTTGCAGCCCTCCTTTTTCTCTCATTTTGGTCTGCAAACTTAAGTTGTTAACCATCTAGAAAATAAGCTTGTTATTATCGAACAACTTAGGCTGTTAAGCTTAACCTCACTATCTGTCTGCATATCAAACATCTTATGCATAATATGGAACAGGTATTTTTCATCAAATATTAATATGTTAAGCTTTAAGTCCCTACAGAATATGATAAAAATCTTTTAAAAATTAGAATATATTTTAAAAATAGGCATAAAGAATTATATACTTCTCATGTTTGCACATAAGTCCAAAAATCTCACCATATACAACCTTGAAGCAGTACAGTCCCACAATATTCCTTTTCCTGTCTCCTGCTTTCCTTCTCCACCCCCTTCTTCTTGAACAATTATCTACCTGAGAGAAATCATAGCAGCAACTGTCAAGTCAAGACAAGCAGCCTATGTTCAGTAGACCCGAATGACAGGCACTCCAAGCATGAAACTACTATTACAAATTATCATCTGGAGTGCAGTAGCTTAGTTCACAGGTATCAGTATATACAGTTAGTCAGGGTGAGAATCTTTCCAAATAACTGCTGGACTAAAAAATCTTCTGAAGATTCGCAGATCATTGCCTTGCTCATCTTCTACATATAACTGTATGGCTTGATGTTGTCATGTTTCCTAGCTCTTCTCCTTTCCCTCTCTTGATGTGTTAGTCATTGAGATCCTGCTTTCCTTTTACTTGTATACCTTTCTATTTGTATTTCTTCTTTTGAGTTCTTATACTAGGGAGACTATACAATATTTACACATGTGTGTCTGGTTTACTTCACATATGAGTATATGTTTAAGTGTCATCCACTTCAATATAAAGACTTCGAGCTTATCATTCTTAATAGCTGAATAATACTCCATTGTGTAAAAATACCACATCTTTTTCAACCATTCCTCAGGTAATGGGCATCTTGGTTGTTTACAAGATTTGGCTATCACAAATTGTGCTGCTATAAACATAGGCAAACATATATCCCTATGATATGATGTTTTCAGATCCTCTGGGAAAATTCTCAGTAGAGGAATAGCTGGTTTAAAGGGGATTTCC